ATAAATCATGGCTAACCAGTGTAAGAACATCAGCAAAAGTCTCCAGGCTGCACAAAGGAAGCTTCGATAAGGACACAACCCCAAAAAACCTTAAGTCAGTAAAGTGAATAAGTTTATGAGAAAGTATACCTTGTGCATGTAAAAAGAATGCCATTTAGATGCACAAATCGAATACAAAAGGACTTAAAAGTATCATGGATATCAGATACTTTCTCCTTAGCAGGGCTTGATTCCTTGTTGGCATCTTTAGATGAAAGCTTTGCTTCCACTTTCCCTCTACCTTTGCCCGATAACCACACAGCACGCTCCTTGACCAAGGGAATTTTAACTTCCCCATGAAGCTGTGAGTAATTATGACGGTTCTGCAAACAAAAGATCGTACATTTAATGCAATTTCCATATTCAAATACTCATATACATATTCCAATAATAGCATAAAAATAATAAACCGAGTCAAACTCAGTTTTCAAGTCAGTAACATTTAATATTATTAATCAGACTCATACAATTAAAAGTAGTGAGTTCTCAAAGTTGGATTAACGTGTCAGAAACAGGCAGCATGTTAAATAAGGTAAAATGTATTAGACACACAGTTAAAAATCCTCCTAAAACTCCATAATGGAGAAAATAGGATAACTGTTTGACATTATATAATAATGTAGCTTCTACTAATCTATGCATATCTATGTGTACATATGTAAGACAATAAATAACAAAATTTATTCCCTTAAAATATTTTACAACATTTTGTGTGTGCAATCCACAATATCCCATTTCTAATCTTCATAAACAAGTCATTAACTACCAAACCTAGAAAGGATGGATCGATATTTTCTTCCCTTTAGACCAGAAAGTAGTAGCAATCAGTTAAAGTAAGAATCAGCACCTTTGCAGAAAATCACCCAAGACAAGGTTAGGGTTTGCAATCACCTAAATTTTTAAAAAGCTTATAAGTAACGCTTGCGAAGATAATGCCCGCATTAAAATTTTCAACAAAGCAAGCAACTTAATGTCCTAGTTAGCTACGAAAGCACACATTAACCCATCACCATACTACAACCAGCAGGCCACATCGTAAAGACATCGCAAACTGAAATAAGTACATAAATAAACTCAAATGCCTAAAATTCGCACTTCTACCTTCTCAAATGCCACAATCAAATTATCCCTTGCAGTTGAAAAGGGGTTATCCACCGCCAAACTCTGGAATATCGATAAACAGCCAACAGCTCATCTCCTGAATAGGACGCCAATATAGCTAACTGAAATAAGGAGATAATTGTCCACATAAAAAATGAGAATATTGTTGGACAGGAGAAATTCAAGGCAAGTGCAAAAAGATTATTGGGGCACCAAAGTTAAGTATACTTTATTAACAGGGAAAAGGAGAATAAAGAAAAACCTGATGATGTGGATTCCCACTTGATGGCCAAATTGATGCAGCTTGCAAGTAGTAACTTGAAGCTGCTGCATACTCACGTGATTTAGAGTCTCCATCGCCATATAATCCTTTGTACCGTGCTAGGTCTCCCAAGTATATCAAACAACGGTGACAAGACACCAACCCCTTTTTCATGTCAGCAGATTTCTTCCCATCTTTATCCATAACAATTTGATTTTCTGAATCATCAGAAAAGTACCCAAATGGAAGTCCATACTTTGCTCTGATTTTCAAAATCAGATCATGATAAAATCCAGTCGACTCTGAAAGGAAAGTCTTAAACTGCAATCTTATTTTTGTAAGCCGGTCAGGTCGCGGAGGAACTTTCACACCCTGAGATACATTCGATCCTGCAGAAGCTAGGGCAGCACTATAATGTGCTCTTAGTTCCTCAATCTGCTTGTAATGTAACTGCCACAAAGCATATTCAATATTGTCCTCCTCAGAAAAAGCATAGTCCTCAAGAATTATTGCCTCATAGTTCTCACGCATCTGCTGCCATGCATTGGGATCTGAAGGTACTCGTGCCTGAGCTGATCTCCTACGATTATTTTCCAACTCTATATTCTGCAGAGAGTGCCAAACATTAACTCCCATGAGCAGAAACTGAAAGGAACTTCATATTTTATTGAAGAAGAAAGATAGCTTCTCAAAAAGACATTGTGTGCACTCCTTGGATAAAGGAGCAGATATTTTATCCATCTGCACCATCATCATCCATCTAAAATACTTTGTCGAAAAGAATTAAATCTGCAGAATGCACACATCATCAGCAACACCAATCAGGCCATGTATCATTGGCTAATTCAATCAATTACAACTAAGTTGTAATAAAGGATTGGAGGGAATGAATCAGATCAGAAAAAAGTGAATCACTTTCTATGTCAACCAAACTGCAAAAAACTCGAATAAAATAGAAGAAACCTTATAGCCAGATTACCAGATGATCAGAGTTCAAATTTCTAACACTCAAGATATAAATAAGAAAACAAACATAGTGCCTATCTCAAATGAAAAAAATATTTATTACTTAAATCATTCAACTACTTGAAAACTTATGACCATGATTGCCAAAATCATCAAAGATTCTGGAGTGAACTCTCAAAACATAACAATGTTCTAAAAAGCATAATTAAAATTTCTACCCCAGAATGACTTCCTTGAATGTAGCCTTCCAAATGTATTGAGCCCTCAAATGGCAGCTTCATTAAGTCCCAAAACATCAACAAATTTAAAATCCTTCCCAAACCATGCATCACTATCCCCTTGTGATCACAAACAATATTTGAAAAATATTGCAAAATCTATGGAAAAGATAATACCAAAGCTTCTTCCAAATGGCAATCACTTCATCCTTAACATCCTAAAACTAGTATTTGCCTCAGCCTCATAAAGTTATATACTAAAACAAATACCAAACTCAGACATTGTTTCTTTTCGTGCAAATAATTAACAACCCAAACATTTTATAAATCAATATAGGAAAATAATATTTCAATAAAATTTTTTAAAAATCTGCAAAAAGCATAGTCTTCCAAATAACAACTTCCCGCTTGGTCACCGAGAAAACGAAGGAAAATCAACCCCCTTATTATTAAAGAAATCAAAGAGGAAAAAAAAAAAAGAAAAGATACAGTTCTTTTCTATCGTGTTACATTTACACATTCAGATTTTTGTTCTTTCTTTTTTTCTTTCAATTATTTCTAAAAAAAAAATAAACATACATAAATTACACACTAAAAAAAATGATTTCATTACCAAAAAAAAGGAAAAAGAAACAGCATCTGAACCGAGGATAACAATAAGATGATTACAATAATTGCATCCATAAATACCGAAAAGACAGCAGAAAAAATAAATCAAATCGGAAAAAAAAATAAAATCAAAATAAAAAGAAAAAAAGATAGAAACTCACCTGAGGTGGATTAGATCTGAAGAAAAACCTCCAGATAAAACATCGGGGAACGAATTAGAAAGAAACAAAGAGAAATTGGTTAGCGTTTGGTCGTTGGAGAGACAGAAAATATATATTAAAAGAGAGAGAGAGAGAGAGAGAGAGATGGTTTGGTTTTGGTCGAATTTGGTATGACCGTCTATGAGGCTGCACATCTAACATTTCGATGTGCTTTCTATTCTTTCGTTTTTATTTATTTCTTGATCGATATGACGACATCTGAGAGACCGTTTTTAATTGCTGCCGCCTTTTTTTTTTTAGTTAATTATACTTTTGGTATTTAAAATTTTAAAAATATATAAATTAATATTTAAAAAAAATGAAATGTTAAAATTCAAATGTTATATTTTTAATATATTAGTTTATATATATTTTTTAAATTCAAATGTTAAAAATATAATTTTTTTTTCTTTTATCTCTTCCGCATTACTAAATTTTTCATTACAGAGAGGAGGTCCACGACGCGCTGCGAAGCTATATATAAAGTTCAGCTCCCTTTGTTAATAAATTTTTTAACTATTGTTTGTTATTTTAAATTTAAATGTGTTGATTAAGACATTCGTGAATACCGTAATGCTCACTCCAAATCCTCAACAAAAACCCGTGGCTCCATTCTTAAAAGACTAACCGAATGATGACAGCCGTTTACGTGGGTTTCTTTATAATCTGAACCATCAGAAATTTTTAGTTAATAAAGTCAAGGTTAAAATAATAAAAAATCCTTAAATTTTATATTTTTATTACATTCAGATAATCTCTTAACTTTTAATTTATATCTAAATAAATTTTTAATCTAAATAATTTTTTATTTAAAATAAAATTTTATTTGAATACGATTCAAAATATAAATCTTATTTAAATATAATAAAATAAAATAAAATCTTATTTTTAAAATATAATAACTCAAAATTTTTTTAATATTTTAACCACAAATCGTTACGATCTTTAACCTCATTTTCATGATTTTCTATTAATACTATTCTTTTTATGGAGTTCCTTTTTTATTTCAAATTGCATGTTATCATTTTTTTTTTTTTGGAGTTCTATTTTATGATTGTTTGGAGTGCTAATCCATATGAGTTAAGAAACATGTTAAAGTTATAAATTGTGTATTTATATTTATTTATTTTATATTAAATATATATATATAATATAAACATTATTATATCATAATTTATATCGACATATCGAAATATTTTTTATTTTTATTAAATTTTTATATAATTATTACTAAAATTTTAAATCATATTATTTTTATATATTTTTTATATTATTATATCATATTTAAAATTATTAAATCTATTAAAAATTAAAGTGCTACCTCGAGTAAGAAGATAGACAAATACTACTTATAAAGGTTTTTTTTTTTTTTATTTCAAAGTATCAATTAGCACAATTAATAAAAACCATTTGATGGTTGTACTATGAATTTGAGACCAAATTTTGCTATCACAAAAGATCGATGATTTATTGAAAGCATAGGAAAGGATTATCCCTTATTATTATTATAGCATTTTTCACCATTAGAGCAAGAAAAAAAATCTGAGATTCTTAGAAGCAAACCATAGAGTATAAACTATAGATTTAGATACAATTTCCCGAATGATACGAGGAATACTACTCAAGTGAGACTTTGGACAATCAATAGTCAATTCCACGGTGATAACGGTTTACTATATCCTACTCAAGTGAGACTTTAGACAATCAATAGTCAATACCATAGTGATAACGGTTTACTAACAGTCAACCCTCAATGAGAAAATTTAAAAGCCATATCCAAACTCTATATTTACAGCCTTTATGAAGATTCACATTGATGGCATATGCTATTATCAAAGTCAATTGCATAACATTCACAGTTTGAAAATAGCATGCGGCGACGGTTATTTACATCATATGAAATTTGTTTAAAATTCAGATAAGATGAGGATATTCCATATTCCAACAAAGACCATGATAATAAGTTGCTCCAAGGTGCTGACACTGGAAAACTTCCACATGAATGAACCATAGAATAGAAGAGAAGAGTGTTTGAAAGTTCATCTACTGTCATTCAATATAGGGCCATCTGAATAACTTGCTCACCAGGGTTGCATTATCTGCTTTCAAGGTTTCTGAAAATTCCAACTTCTACTTCTCACATTTCTTAGCCATCCAAAATCAATAAGGGGTTGCCCATATTGTAGCTTCGCAAGGTGCCTTCTATATGGGATTTGTATATTTTTGAGACCTGCCATTGATAGAGCATAGCACTCAGAACAATTATACTAACTCAGCACAGCCAAAAGGAACAGCCTCAAATCAATACCCTCCACCTTGCATTTTGCACGGGTGGCCTCAAACAAGGGAAGAGAAGCAAATAGAAAAAACTGAAATACAATTTCTAAATTTCTTTTATTTTCTCCTTCCACTATAACATACAGTAATAAAGCACACCGAATACTAGGCATACCTATGATGCACATTGTCCTGTAAAGTTGAGCAATATGGGGATCACCTTCCGTTCTCATATTAGGCTTCTCCAAGCAATTGAGAAATGCTAAATCAGCTTTCAGAAGTTTTTCTTGATCGTGAGTATCATAACCTATATCATGACAATAGCAGCAAAAATCTAACCAATCAATTGGCCTCCTGTCCCAAATAAGGGATCCACCATCTTTCCCACTTGACCAATTAGGACCACAGTAATGCCCATATCGAGGAAATAACTGAGAAAGGAAGGCTCTAGCACCAGTATGCCACGGAACCTTGCAAACATATGGCCTAAACCTGATAGGGGTACCCCCATTGGGGGGTTCAATAACACCATGTTGTCGTGCATGCCTTTTTAATCCTTTGTTTATAGTGGTTGGAGCTCGAATTTTATCATTACCATTCACTGCCTTTAGAGGGACTGAAACTAGAGTCCATCCCCACAGTCGAATCTCAACACTAGCTTTCTGTTTAGGTTGCTCCATCAGAGCACTTGTGGATGCAAGAGTCAAATCCGAATCCCTTTTGGGATCAACACCAAACCATGGTATTCTTAGGAATCCAAAGTTCATCGTCATCAATCACCAGATGCCACCATATTACAGATCTTAGCCAGCACAAGTTTTTATTTTTTGGCCAAGCCAGCACAAGTTAACTCGTTCACTACACCTGATGATAGATAATTGTATCAAGAAATGTAATTCCATTTCCAAAAGCATAAGCACCACAGTTCCTTTAAATGCCAAAAAAGTTTAGCAATTAACCCCTCTAAAGCAATATTTGACAATCACATGACATCCAGGTAGACAATTCACTGTTTTCAGCATAAAATTTTGCTACACGACATAAACCATCAAATCACAATGTCCCCCGAAAAGAAATATAAGAGGCAAATGCCATAGGCTGAAAAAATCAAATAAAATATGTAGCAAAATCCCTATAAAAACACAAAATCCCTCAAGAAAAAAAACATGGGACTGCCAAGAACTCGAAATTATAAGCTTTAAAATTGAACTTTTCTGCAAGAAAGTTAAAATGATTTGTAATTCAACCATTATTTTTCCTCATAGGGTGTGTTTGAAACAGAGTGAAAATGGAATTCTCACGTTTAATATAGATTATAGCTGAATTACACAAAATTCTCACAATAGCTAAACTCCTAGGAGCAAAAGATATGCTTATTTTATCTAAAAAAGTTGAATCTACTTTTAATACATTGCAAATAAATCAAATTTATTGCCATTAAGCTAAATTATAAGCTTTCTTACTTGGAAAGAAGAGTAAAAAAAAAACATTTTCTTCCTCTTTCCCCTTAGTTTTATCGGGAACCAAACTGATATGAAACCCGTAAAAACAAAAGATTGAGAATCAGAAAGGAAATTACCGGGTTAATTAATCAATCGGGAATGGAGAAAAAAAATTAGGAAGGGATAGGAGAGAGAAGTTTCTCGAGAAAATTTCTGTGGACTCTTTCTCTATCTAATGTGGATTGTGGAGTGGGCGTAATTATTTTCCATGTAGAGCCCACAGAAATATTATGTTAGGTCGAGATTTCGTTGGGGGGATTTATATCCATTTGCAGTTGATCTCCTTTTCTTCCACTTGGGCACTCGAGCTGGAACTTGGGATCATCCCATTTATTTTTCAGTTTTTTTTTTATCTACTTTTTTCCTTTTTTTAATAGTTATCTATATTGAAATTTCCTTAAATTACGTCCTAATAATTGAAAAAAAAAATTTTCAGTTTTTTTTTTATCGAAGCATGAATCAGATAAATTGTGTATTTTTATTCCGTTTATTTCATGTTAAATATTTATAAAACATAAAAGTTATGCTTAATACATAAAATTACTAATAAAATAAGATGATAATTATATTATGTTATGTTTGATATATATTTACAAGAAAAAAAATTATAAAGAGGATTAATATTTTCTTAATATAAAATTATTCAATTCTCGTTAAGTGAAAAAGTTTAAACTTATATGTCTAATTATATTTTTAAAAATTACGTCAATAATTTAAATTATATAAATTTTTAAAAAAAATAATTTTGACAAATAAATAAATTATCTTATTCTAATTTTTGTATATATCTAATATAAAATAAAATAATATTATTTAATTTAATTCTATTTATAATATTAATTCATATCTTGCATATCAAATATAAATAAAAATTATAATAATAAAAATATATCAACAAGTCAAATACGGATATATTTTTCATTTTTATTAATTAATATATATTTTTATTAAAATTTTAATTTATTATTTTAATATTTTTTTTCATATAATTTTTATATGTTATCGTAATTGAAATTGGCATATCTTACCTTGCATAGTTTATTAACAATGATAAATACAACCAAAAACCTACAAAATAATTGAAAAAAAAAAAACCAGCATAAAGTTTAAACCCAACATATAGTAAGATTTAGAATAAAAAGGAATTGAGATCAGTGATCTACGATATTTCATCTCTGGTCTCATCATCAAGGCAAGACATTGCTCGACCCCTTTGCTTTTCCCAATGTTTAAACTTCGAAGTAACTTTCTTGGAAGAGATAGCATGAAATTCAAAATCAAGTTATCAAATTAAAATAAAGTTTAAACTCATCAATGAAAATATAAGAGAATGAATTAGCAAAACAGCAACCCACTCAATCAGTTTATATATTAATACAAATACAATAGTGCTCAAAATGGGAAAACAGTTTCTCTTCAATCACATTCGTTCAAATACATACCTCCTCCAAGCTCTACCTACTATTGACAGTGTCACTGCTTTTCTTTACAATGTCTCTGACAAAAATTAAAACAACATGGTCACAACTCCAATCACCATCTGACAACCAAAAAAAAGAAATAAATTTGTAGCGAGGAAGACCACAAGAAATACATTATATGCAACAATTTAGGATGTACAACAAGACAACATTGCTCCTCCAGATTTACTATACTGCCATCTCTGGTTAGTTCCATGGGGGTGATGATGGTCTGTACACAAAATCCTGAGAGGATGTGCCGTAGTTCAGGTCAAGGTTGTGGAGCTGTTCCATTAGTTGGGAACGCCTTTCTTTGAAAAAATCAAGACGGGTTGTTAATTCTACCAGAGCAGAAGAAGCTGCTGATGGATGTCTTGGATAATCAATCACCTGCAAATGATAACAGCATCAGTATATATCTACTAACTATTTCGTACAAGAATTAATCAGGCGTTAAGTTGGGTGATCTTGTTATGGGGTTTGTTGTGTATCAATCTTAAGCTAGTGAGAAACAGATCTGGAAGTTAGAAGGTTTCAAGTGATAGTCCAGCTTCATGTAATTGGATTCTGATGCACACCTTTCAATGGTTAAAATTGAAAGAAAGAGGCCCGAATATCAGTCACCCGTGTAGTAGAGTCGGAGGAACAGTCAGGCTTACCTCTGCTGCTCTTGAAGTCGATGGGATAGAGGCAGAATCAACGACACAAAGCTCATCCATAGACATATTTGCTGATGCCTCAGTACTTTTTGAGTCACTCAAGCTTGTTGAATCCATAAATTGCTTTCGAGTAGGCTGCATGCTGCCATTTCCAACTACCAATCCCTGTCCTTTAACATTCCTCCAGTCTGGTCCTAACAAATTTTCCTGCAGGATAGTTTTGAAAAGAATATTTAGAGTCCATAAAACAAGGACTGAACATGAATATCTGAAGGGATAGAACAAAAAAAATACATAATTTGCTGGAGTTCAAATGTAAGAAGAGTATCAGCTTCACAGGAATGGAGGCAGAAAAACTAAAGCATTAACAGATCTGCTCATCATCAATTTACTTTTGTCGCCATTAGCAGTTAAACTCCTTGATTTACGGCATCAAGATGGCAGAACAAGCATCGGTCAATTTTATATTCAAAAGACATTTCTCCAGAGCAAATGGCTCACTGTTGATAACAAGCAAAAACTTAATAGAGCACACTAGGATGTTCATGAAATTCATCAGAATGGTTACTTTGCCTTTTTGTACATATCCCAAAACTTCAAAACCAGATAATCTAGAAATTCATTCCTTCCACTAAGGTACCCTCCAACATTAAAAGAATCCCCAAAAAAAACCATAGAAAATTAAGGAATTGACCCAATTCAGGGAAAAAATGGACAATCCGCATAGAAATTTGGGCAGATGGATGACAGTAAGCCCAACTAGTATTGGGTCATCCAAATAATTCAAGGGCAGTAGGCCATCAGGGTTTGACCAGGTTTTAAACCACTTTGGGCTTAGAGTTCTTCCAGCATGGGCAGCCTTCAATGTCCCAATTAAACTGGGTTAAAATCGCTGCGCCATGCTGGTTCTAAAACAGTAGGAAAAAAATAATAATAAAATTATGAAAGCCAACAAGATCAAATTCTAAGAATTTTTCCTTAAATGAAATCTTAAAGTCTGATTCAATCAACTGAAATGCATAATTTTTTTAAAAGATATATTGAAGACACACCTCTGTTCTTTGTTTCCTCTCATGATTACAAAAGGCAAGGGTTGTGTCAAAATCGTGCTGAAGAAACCTCCTGCAGACATAAAAATATATATATTATATACATTTTAAGTACAGGGAGGGGAAGTTGACTAAAATTAACAAGTCTGGACTATCTAGCAGTCAAATTTTAGACCTTTATTATTACCACTTAGGGTAGTTAAAGAGTGCCCAGTAAAAAAAGCTCCAAAAATGATAAAAAGTGTAAATTATCAATCATTATAATTCCTTCAAAATCAACATATTACACATAACAACTACCATTACAATACAATAAAAACTCTTCATAACCATCTTGCAAAAGTTCTCTTCCCCTCTCTGGGATTCAATTGTTGGGTTTATTTTAAATTTGGTACTAACCACCTTCCCTTACAGAACTTTTTGGCTTTAAAGACTTAGAAGCTAATAAAAAGATGGCTCTCCTCCCACCCTCCACTCAAAAAAAGCCACCTATAAAAAAGCCTGTTTTCAAAGGTATCCTATAAGAACTTCATCTTCTTGAAGGATTGAATTCACCTTGATAGCCGAAGAACTTCAAAAGACCTTAGTCTTTAAAAGATATTTGTCAAGGTCCCCTGAAGGGAGCCCAAGTCTTGAGTTACCATACCATGCCTAAGAGTAATTGTTGCATACTTGCGTGACAACAGAAAAGCACAATATCCATGCATGTTATATTTAGGCTAAAATGATAGTATCGGGTTTCAGAATCCTCAAGAGGGAGCTTAAAAGATAACTCCTGATGCAAGGACCCAACAGGATGGAAACAAGTCAAATGACGGTTTCATGCACCAATAGGCAAAGATAAAAATGCATCTAGCAAAAGGAAAATTGAAGGCTAAAACCAGTATTGAAACGAGTTATTTTAAGCGATTCCTTGAGAACAATCATTATGACTTCATTGAATCTGCCATGCAACTGCCTACAAAGTTTAGAAATATAAAGCTTAGGAATCAAATGAACAAAAAGAATTCCATGAACTCACTGTTGAGAGTTATGATTTTGGACATGTTGATAACGGTCACATGCATCAGACAAGGAACCGTAATGATGTTGCCGTTGCTGATTCAGCTGATGATGGAGTTCTGCAACTTTTTGCTTCAATCTAGCCACATCAGCTTCGGCAAGAGCAATCTCCTCAAGCTCAGCCCTCGTCTTTGCATCAATTTAAGTTATAAGAAGGAGGAATGCTACATTTAGAAAAGAAAAATGGTTCTCTTGACATCTATACAAACCTTGGAATCCATTCCTCGGGAACTAGAAATTTGTCCTGATGACATGCTCAATCCAACTTCAAGTGCTGCTCTAAGATCCCTTTCAGCTTGTAGCTGCTCTTGCAATCTAGAGACCTATAGAGTCATTTACAGGCAAGTTGGAACACAAATTCAGGAGCATAATTCTCCAATAAAAGGTTAGATAATTGCAAAAGAAAAATCAATTCTTAACAAGAAAGTAGATAGATATATGTTCTCTGTTAGATGTTCCGCACAATATTTTTAGTTCAAACGGTATCAAATTTTTACCCCCTTAGTTGTTCTATAGTCTGCAAAAGTTGGGGAAAAAAAAATCAACTCCCCAAGTATAATTATAAAACGACAAATGCAAGCCACAATTCAAGTTAGCATGTCTCTCTGCAGATTGGACTTCATCCAATCATCTAAGCAGCCATCATCAGTTCAAAAACCTTCACTTCCCAAAGGCATTTTATATTGCATGTAGTTCAGAAACAGCACAAGAAAGATATTTACAACTGCATAAGCCCATAGGGTTGTTAGCGTCCAGAGAATTTTAAAACCTTTTCTTTTTCAAACAGGTCTAAGAAAGTTCAAAATCTCATCCTCTGTATCAAATTGAAGAGCAAGGCCCAATAGAATAATCAGAAGCAGGAAACATAAGAAAAACATGGTTGTTGTTTTCTACAATAGGATTAAATTTAGGACCCAAGGATGGATCCTTACTACTGTGATAAAATAAAGTTTAGAAGCCAATTCCTCATTAAAGTAAAAAAAAAAAAAAAAAAAAAAGCCCAAGAAAATGCATAGAAACAGGCCTATGTAAAGCACGTACTAGTAATCCAAAATGATTGCAAAACAAAAGTTTCTAAGACTAGATTCCTAGCTGAACATGTTACGCAAAAATCAGCAACCAGATTATGAAATAAAAGATCTCTGAAGAGAAATAAGTATTCAATTGGCAAGAAAGAAATACATCTTGTTCAAGTGCCAAGCGACGTTCATGCAAAGCTTGTTTTCTTCGTTCCAAGCTAGCTTGTAAAATTGCATTTCCTCTAGCCTACAACACGTAATGAGCAATCTGTTAGTGGAAACAGAAAATACTTCTCTAGTTGACGATAGAATGATTTTAAAAAAGTAGTGCTACCTCTTTTGCAATACGATGTTGCAGATCATTCTTTGTGATCTCAAGCCTTTGTATAGCAAGCCTAGAAAAAGTTCAACAAATTGATTTTGTGATTATAATATGGCAGACATTTAGATAGTTTTAATATAAGAAGTCAACTGAACACTGTTTTAACAAATGGACATTTTACAACGCTATCAAGTCATAATCAGAAGTAAATAGACTTTTAAGATGGATAATAAAAGTCATATGCGTACAAAGAAGGCATGGAAAAAGCTCAAAGCTCGAGCAATAGTTTTCAAATGCAGACATACAAGTTAAAAGGAATGCAATAATAAAGCTGAAAGCTACAAGATGTAATGAGTATCTTACTCTTCTTCACCAGAAGAATCAGCAGATTCCATTGACGGTGTCTTTCTGGCCTGTAAAACAAAGTCAATGAAGATTCGAGTGAGAATGGTTTTAATCTGTGAACCAAAAATGTATGAGAGAAAAAAACCTCATTGTGTTCCCATGTGTGAAAGCAAAGCATATGTATGTTCACCAACAAAATAAGGATTAACGTTTAAGTTGCAAAGATAAGTGCAGTAACAGTTTGTAGAGATATACTTGTTCCCTTACAAAGTCTAATTAAATAAAACCATCAACGTCAACTAAGAATCTTAGCGTATAAGATTGCACATTATCAAAATATTCAGATAAGTAAATTATGCAATTCTTAAAAACACAAAGGATTTTCGTTAAGAATATCATTTCTTGGCTAGCTGATGCAGCTATCATATTTGCCATTATTATATTCAAGTACACAAAAATGTGCAGCCGTCCAAATGAGTGCAGGAACAAAAGAATTTGTCAAAACTTACTACACAAGGGAGAAATGAGAGAAAAGAAATTTTATCCATGCAAAGAAACTGATGACTGAGGAGAACGGTTAAACAAGTTGCGGCTATATCAGCCAGAAACATTGAATTGAGAATAACAAATGCAATCTCCGGTTGGTGAGGATTGTTATCTATTGAATGATGGAATAGTTTGGCCTGACAGTTGAGCTTTGCTTGCTGGGTTTATCAAAAATAATAAAAGCAAAAGAAAGAAAATAACCTGAGTAATGGGAAATCCTAGAGAATGCGGCAACAAAACAGAAAGCAAAGATGCAAGAATAAATAAAGCTTTTAACTTAATTTTAAGACTCCTTTCGAAGATCAATTTTTCTTATCTACATGATTGGAAAGTTTATCAAGACATAGAACTTTAATTTAATCAACCATATCTAAAATCCATTCAGAAATTGCTTGAATCAATGTGATGTGTCTAAGCGCATGTAATTTGAGTTCCTGACAATTAGACAATGCATCATAAAAAGATAACTCACATTGCTTCTTCCCCAAAATGTTGATCTCTTTGCATTGAGACTGGACCCTTTAGCTTTCGCAACTGGCTTCTCAGTGGAAGATTCAAGTCCAGGTGAAGATATAGGATGGCCAGGATCCATTGAAGACAGAATCTCACTCATTGACCGGTAAGATTCAGTGGTAGGTAGAACGCTTGGGACATCTATCTCATTAATTGGATTTTCATTTTCTTTATTTTTCTTACCTTGTTCCTCCAGCTGAGCATCAGGATCTCTCATCTGTAGAGGATCTACAGCTAAGCTTATTATCTCAGCCTGAGCATTATTGTCTCTAGGGGATTCAACATCTGAACCATTATCCCCAAATGCCTATACACAAAAAAATAACAAAATGAATGTACCAATTCAGTAAAGGGATTATCACTCAAGTTCTGCAACTGTTTTAGTAGGAAGGAATAAACAAATCAGCATTAAACATAGCATCAATATCGTGAATGAAGTTTACATGGATAATTTGACAGGGGCCTAGTGCTATTGAGAAAAAATAGAACATCAAAGGACCTATAACGTGAAAAACAAGAAGGTTTCATTCATTCAACTCCAGTCCTTTATCAAGTTAATGCCTAGTGTGCAGCATTAACCCTAAACTAGATGGGTTATGTCGAATGTGTAAAAGCACACTCTTCATAGGATACTTGGAGTAAATTTTGCTTTACTATTTCAATTTTCAATACATACGATTTTCCTTCTGGTGGCAGCAAATCATTCATTAATATAGATGCATCAGTAGGCCTGAAGTGCACGCAATGAAACTATCTACACTGTGGTTCTCCTAATTTATCCTCACAGCTTTTTCATAGCATATAGATGACTTCTTTCTTATTTTATCTTCTTTTATATTACCACATATAACAACTCCATCTCAAATGTGTGTTCTTTTTCATTTTATCCTCTTTTATACTACCACAAATGACAAATCCATCTCAAAAAAACACATTTCAACTAAACTCACTCAAATTCTATAAGTAGTATGCTCCTTCATGGATAATCACAAGCCTAGATACCTTTTGTTCATAGGACATGATTGTTATAGTTTATAATCACAGAGACAACACTTCGAAAGAATCAAATCATATGATTCCCAGCTGCAGAGTATACACAAAAGAGCAAGGAGATGGACTACTATTATGCATGAAGCCCATCAACTTCTTAAGTTCAACACAAGTGTATCATACCAACAATGAAAAAATCTTTAAACTAATTTCCACATCCAAGATATCCTAATACCATTTCTGAACATTGTTCATCACAACAGACATCATAACAATTTATTGTATTAGTCAGTACATGAGTATGTGCATGTGCAAAAGTGTTCATGGGAGGGCTCAGTTGACATATTGAAAATCTAAGCCTGAGCTCAGCCATGTAATCATATTATGTTTATTTTATATATTTTAAAATTAAATAGAAAACATTATTTATTAATATAATAATGTCCTCAGGACAGACTGGGGCCTAAAAGTTCATGTTCAGACCCAGTCCAAGTCGGGCCAGGCCCCTAGCCCGTGGACACCTATAGTGTGCACATGGAAATATAAGCTTTACGCTTTTATAGTAAAGGGATATGACAAAGAACCTTGTAGTCATAAAGATCACTGTCTGCATAGCCACTGCTTTCACTTAATTTCCCACTGAGAACACGTTCAGAATCATCATTTGTGTCTGGATCGGCTTCATTTTCTGCATCATGGTAGCCATTGTCTTTCATATCTGGATTTTCATCATCAGTCGAATCTTCACTAGCACTATTTTCAATCCGGGAATCGGCTGAAATAGAACATCTTAGTAGATTTTCATCCTGAAACAACACAAATGATCACCACAAATAGTACTATACTAAAGGAGACCACACGCACAATATTCTGATAATACAAAGGTTAACAATATTTTGAAACTAGAATTATGAGAAAGAAAACGTTTGAAGTCATTAGAAATATTACAAGAGAGGAACAAGCTTTCAACAATTAGTGACAGCACGAACAACTCAAGCTGGAAATTGCTCAATAATAAGGCATAAAATGACATTTCCATCACATTCACAGTGGCTGTACTAGCTAATTACTAAACTCATTCAAATCAAGAGAGTTCTAAATGGTTTATGCTTAATTAATACTAATAGGTAAATGGCTATAAATGATATGATATAATTTCAAGCATCATAAATTTATATAACTTCTTTTTCATGATATATCATTTGAATACAAACTTGGGTATGAATTATTCTAAAAAACATTAAAGAAAGCATATACTCAGGAATTATCATGTAGCATAACAAATCATAAAGAAAGCATTTAGATTGATAAGGTATATCCAATAAAAATGAAGTTGAGAGCAGCTTACATCAAAAATATTCTCATACTCCTCCAAAAGAGTTGTAATGATGGCTTGAGCATTATTAGCAGCATTTGCAGCAGCAAGAAGCTGGGCAGAATTATCACCGTTAACATCAAAGTCATCCTCCAACTCACATTCACCAGCTAAAAGGGGGCGTAAAAGCAAAGGTGACATGCAAGCTGCTACAGCAGATGGAGTCATTCGATTCTCATGAACATGAGATGAGATTGTATGCATCATCTTCAGAATCCTACAAAACATATCACATTATGTAAATCACTAAATATTTAAAAGAACTTCCACGTATCTTTACCTATGAAAAAGACAGATCTGAAGCATGTTTAAGAGGCAATAGTAATAAATGTATTTTTTAAGTAAATAAAAGTACAATGTTGGAAAAGCACTTTTGTCAATTCAAAGCTCCCCTATGGATCAAGTAGCTTCTCCTCTATTTATGGTAGTCTAAACACTTATCGTGGTTGACCCTTTCCACAAATGTCATCCACAAAGAGCACAACCAAGTGAGATAACTAGATGGCAAATCCCAAGCTTTCTTAGCAATGAATCACAATTTAGCATCTACTTTTGTGTCAAAGCATTGGGCTAACTAAATCATACATGCAGCAAATTCATCTTTTCAGCATTCATGTCTTATGTCAACAAGATGTCTATTATTAATGCAGTTTTTAAGTTATCAAATAAAAAAATATAAAAGAAACAAGCATTTATTGTATAGAATTGCATGGTTTTTAAAATTTAAGATGTCAATTATAAAAGTTTTCAAGCACAGTAACACCATAAGCCACAATGGATGCAAATTGGGGGGAAAAGTAAAACAAGTTATGTTAAAAGAGATAGGGAGGTGACCTTTGTAACAGACGCCTGTTTGGTTCAGGAAATGTCTCTAATATCACAGAGCGCATTGCACTTATCCGAGCTTCCTTCCGATCAATTTCTTATCCAATAAAAACATAAACAACAGTATTAACTTTTACAGACACATGGAACAATTTTTACACCAAAATCGAAAATAATTTAAAAAATAAAATAAAACTTACGTAACAATTACAAGGAAACAAAAAGAATTAAAGAACTGTTGGAACAGAACTTGATGCTTTTCACAGTTAACCAAAATCTTAACTTAATCAAAATGATATATTATACAGTGTACCAGTTGCACTTGTACCCCAAAAAAAATTTTGTACCAGTTGCAGCAGATAGGAATCAAACAGAAACCACAAAACTTGATGAATATGATGTTTCTTAAACTTGGTAAAAGTAAGATATGCATTTGCTCCAGGATAAATGCATAAAGTTCAAAGCCACAAAAAGCTTGTTCATTCAAGTTTAATCATTTTATACATGCAAAAAGAATTAGAGAGTGGTCATGGCAATGCAACAATAATAACATTAGCAGATTCAAGACCCCTGTCAAAGCAATTTAAATACGCATAAGTAGAACCATGTCAGACCAAATTGGAGCATCTATCATACTTCTCATATTTTAACAAATGAGCTGATATTACAAAACCACCCAACAAAATTATAACTTAGCTGCATGGTTAAACATCATGCCAGCAAATATTAGATAGTATTTTTTTCTTAACGTCTCTATTTGTATGTTTCATTTTCTTTCAATTCCAGTGACCACAAAAATGGACCACTTTGTCAATCATAAAATTCAAAATGCTAAGAAATAAGTACAAAAACCTGTCAAACACACCAAAGATTCTATTCTTGCCCTTAAATACTGATCTATGTTATGTTTCCAATAAATATTTATATAAAATAAGTATATGTTTGCTGGGAATTAACAGGGCAATTTTTAGCTTCATTACCTAGTTTTTAAGTATATCTTGGTCCAGGGTAAGATATTCCTTTATTTGCATCCATAAATTGCCCAAAAATTGAGGGACGTTCAAGCTCTAAGTGCCCTATTCTTCTATTCACTCTAGGCTTGCCATGTAAATATATAATGCACCCACAATATGAACTCAGCATGCAAAACTCATGGCTACAAGAAAAAATGATCATGTGAAGCATCATAACTTCATAAAGAAGGGTTTTACTTTTTGCTTTAAACATACATATAATGCACCAAATTCTGTCCCAAGAATAGGTACTGAGTATGTATAAAAACAATAAATCTCTTTTAACATCTTAAAGAGGTACTATCAAAATTCAAAGTGAAAAACTTGAGAGAAAATATGGGAGAAGGAAAAGGAAAGAGGCAAACATACTGTAAGCCTCCAGCAATGAAGTACAGCAGGAAGCAGGAACTGGGGATGAGGGTAGCTCCCTTAGTATGTGCTGCGGATTAAACACCTTGGCTGATTAAGGAACATGAACATTCATCAGATAACCACAAATGGAATAATGTACTGACAAAATTACCTTAACACAGTCTCCCACAACATGAGCATCCTCATCAAAACCAAATTCAGTCTTGCCTACATTACAAATACGGAAGACAACACAGCCTTAATTTGGATGGCAAGATAACAACATAACTTAACTACAAGCAATGTAAAAACCAGTTAAGAAATCCAAATATGCAAATATGTGGATATTGTAAGATAATCATCAATTTCAAATGAAAAAAATACCCTGTTCATATTCTTGAACTCTGCGATCGACCTCCTCAACATCTGCAGACTGCCGTAGAATTCCCTCAACTTTAGTTCCTGTTATAGAAACATCATACGGTAAATGAAAAAAAAATAGTAATAGAGAAGCAAGAAAACCCTTTCTTCACTTTCTCCCCTTCAGGTCTCTTCATGTAATCAGTGAAATTTCCTAGTTGTTCTTCCAAAATAGGCTTGCTACTATTAGCTTTACAAACTCAACCAGATCATAAAGTTTAACTATGTATCCCAACTATCCTAAATTGATGGAATACCAGAAAGGCAATTGCTAGTGCAGTCGAGCAATCTAGCCTAGATGATGGCTCAGAAACTCAGACCTAGAATAAAAAATAATAGATGATCAGAAGGATGTCTATGCATATTCACATTACAACTGAAAAAGCAAACTGCTAGCCTAGCAAAGGATCTTAATTTGCAGGATATAGAAAGGCATAGGACCCAATGCTACAGAAAATCAAAATATTAGCAGCTACTGTGCAGTAGAAAAGGATTAAAAAAGATTGTATAGCCAGTTTCATTTTAATCCTTAATAGTTTTAGTTGAAGCAACAACAATCTTACCATAGGCTGATTGTGGAAATCTAATCTTCATTATTACAAGTTGACTTTGTCTATTTTAGTTAAAGTCTCTTATTTTTAGAATGAGTGATTTGGGTAATTACACCAAATCCATTAGATATTTTCCTATTATGTGTAGAGAGTAAATTACTCCTTTGATTAGCTGTTTTAATGCATGAAAATCTTGGGTTTTACGGCTGAGAATATTCAGTCTTTAGCCTATATATTTTCATGCAATTCTAAAATTGCAATAAGAAAAATATAGAAGAATAAAATAGTTTTATTCTAGAGATTTCTTCACTGATATTGCAATCTGATCATTTCTGTGCGTGCAGGTGTGTGGAAGGGGCATCCAAAACCTCCCCCAACTGCTTCTTTCAGACCACTCCCCATTTATATTCTACAAAGTGAAAACCTAAATAACCAAGAGATACTTAAATCATCGTAATGTTTTACTACATAAAGCTATGGATTTCTACAGAGTAACCAAACGGATGGTCACATATCTTCACTACTGTTATGATCATGAGAATAAAACCAATTCAAAAGATTAAGACTACAAATCTCTAGACAAGACAACTGTGTGTGAGATAGGCTTCACTTTCAATCAGACATAACAAGACAGCGAAAAGAATAGTTCAAGTAACATACTTAATAATCACAATTTAAATTCAACGCTTACCAAACTTCTCAAGAAACCGCAAAGCTTTCTCTAGGAATGATGGGCTCCCATCAATGTCTTCAAGCGCAAGCAAAATTGGTCTTCCAACAACCAATGATTTAGCAGTGCGTTTGTCTCTCCCTAAGAACAATCCAAAAATCTAATAAAAATAAGTGAAAAAAAAAATTGCAGAACAATCAGTAGACAATGAATGATGATCATCAAATAAATTTAAGAAGAAACTATGGGGAACAAACATTGATGGAATGACCCTTCAATTGTATCAGTTGTGTCATTTCGGAAAATCCCATTTTGTCCCATGACAAGGGCAGCACTTGGCGCCTGTGCGAGGGCATGTTCTAGAGCTGTCTTCCACTCATACAAGTCCTCTGATGTCTCTGCCTGAATTTAGAAAGCAACAAGGAAGGTATTAGTTTGTTGAACATTTTATTCAGGAAAATCACAGACTGTAAGTCATTCAAATATGTCAAAAAACAAATCAATAAACAAACATATAAAATAATAGCTGAACAACATCCAACTACAGATGATGCACCTTAAGAGTGAAAGCCCGTCCATCACGTCCATCAGGAAACAATACAGTCAACAACTTTTTATCTTCTCTAACAACAACACTGCAAACAAGAGGAACTATAAGCAAGACTATTGTGACAACTATCATAGAAACATACAATAAATATCCACACCTTCCAGAATTGTTCAAGTCAATGCCCCCCAAAGTCAAATTAACTTCACTACCTCTTTGTGGTAGGGCACTCTGCAAGAAAATTAAAACAATAAACATTTGTTGCAATTAAGCCTGAAAATAAACTTTTAATGAACATTCAATACATAAAAAGCAAGGCAATGATTAGATTGTCCTTCTCTCTGCAGGAAAATGAAGCAACAAGATTTGTCTCAATTAAGTCCTGTAAATAAGATCTCTAACCAATGTGTTAAAAAGTGAACAATGTAAATTATCAGTGTCTCCCACCTTCCCTCTTTCTTCAAAGAAATGGAGGGGAGGAATACATAGAAAGATCAAATCAGAAAATCAATTGCATGTTCAAACATTTCACTTAATCTAAAACCACATGCAAAAGTTGTGAAATATTATATTATTTCCATGCAAACCACAATGTTGGACTCGCATCAAGATAGAAACTCCTACCCTAATATCTTTTGCAGAGGGTAGCCAAGACTTCTATCATCAGTTTTGACCTTTTAACTTTAGGAGAAAGGGAGAGAATGATAGACAAAATCATATTGCATCCTGTTACCAGGCACTGAATATTTCACTTTCTCTAAACCATGCATCATAAAGAGTGACATGTTAAGTATTTCCATCCAACCACAAGCTTCGCTCTTACAACAAATACAGGAACTTTATTTGCTGATAATTTTAGCAGAGTGTGGTCCAAGACCTTAATAGGATATTGCCATAGTTGGTCATAACTAGATTCCTGTATAGCAAATCTCGACAAACCTTGGCAAACAATAGACCCTCAAAAATGTTGCAAAGCAGAAAAGGAAGTCATGAAGTACCCCACCCTCTCAAAAAGGGTAACGGTGGCACATTCGGTTGGTAGGTTAGAAAGGCATGTTCTATACTGAGCCAGAGTTCCTTCCCTAGCAAGCATGCGAAGACATTCAACTCATCCTGGATAACAATACTGCCTCACTGGGTCAAATTCCAAGCATAAATTTCTGCCAACTCACCAAAAGAAACCATCAATGCAGATGGAAGTCCCTTAGAGTGTCAGAGATAGGATAATAGTAAGCAACCCTCTTCTCACCAAACGACGTTGTAAGGATTCACCCCCTGCAATGAGTTGCAAAGCACATGTCTATTCTCTCTGAGGTGAAAAGGGCAGGCATGTCCAACTGGAAGCACAGAAAAGCATTTACCATGGAAAGGTAAAACTCTTTCTTTAACCTCCAAGACAAAGCTGTAAAGTTATCCTCTATATCATCATAATGCTTTGACCAGTTGTACTCCCAAATTTGAGTTGCCAAAGAACAGCAATATGAGCTAGGAAAACACAGAGTGCCTCAGCATGTTAAGACAGGATAAGACTGTCTCCGCAACCACCATCAATCCCAACTTAAAAGGTGAAGTCATAGAAAAGGAGTTCCAGCTCATAATAATGCAGAAAGATTCCTAAAATCCTAGGTCAAAGATCTTTAAGAAGTTCAAGAAGATCCTCAGTATTGATGGTAATCCATTAAATTTTAGGATCCAGGTTATCAACATATACCACGCCTAAAATGTGTTCCAAATTTAGCCATCAATGACATAGGTGATACCCAGCGAAGCATAAATACACGTACAAGATATAAGTATGATATGATATAGATATGTTGAAATGACAATCTTCAACAAATTAAGATCTCATACAGGGAGGATTCCTTCAACAAATTACAATCCTTTCTGTATCATAGCTTATATTTGCAAGAGTAACACTTATGATATGCTATTCTCAACAAGTTTTCACAGTTTGCACATGAGAGTAACTTGTATAACTGAAAGTTTGACTATGAAATTGCAATACAACTGCTGATTCTTCTCAAATCAGATTTAACCTTCATATTTGGCTTTTATGAACAAAAATCTGCATTTTTTTCTTCTTTTGTATCCAAGGAACAAACCTCAGCAAGAATCCTTCAGTCTCTAAGATTCCCTCTAACAATTGGATTCTTTAATTCCGTGAAAATTAGTGCTACTAGCTAAATGTTAAGATTGATGGTAAAGATCTGATCCAAAATATCAACAATTGTTTACACTAATTGACTTCATGCTTAGATTGTCAAAAGGAAAATTTCTTCCACATCTTGTTTCCTTCAAGGCAATGAAAATACAAAGCCTTCACTCTTACACATTTTTCCAACAACATAACTTCATATGTTAAGGGGATGATACAGATTCTAACGATCATCTCAATTTAAGTTTCAACAGTCCCCAACATGTTTGTTGCACATAATTTGCAACCGAAAAAAGCATATGAGTGTGTGTGGTATTGTTATTATCCTCTACCAATGTCAATACGGAATGATATAAAACGTACAATCAAATCATGCTTATGGCCAAAAGTGCAAAGGCATTTATATAGCATAGCACATCAAGAAGTGAGAAAATCTAAATTAGTAGCATATTGATGATACAATGGTCTACAACCACTCTCCAATTCCCGTGATCCTGTGTAGTATAATGTTGCATATAATCAATCATTATCCTAATATATGTACAATAATTCTAAATGGTTTAAAATATACTATTAAACCATTCCAACGCTAAAGCTTTGAAAAGACATGGTATGTATACAACAGTATAAAAAAGTGAGGAAAAAACAACTAACGAATTAAAACTTATACAACAGAAGATTTTTGTTTAAAATGCAAAATCATTTTCCTAAATTCCATTTTTATACATCCAATAAACGTCACATAGCTATGAACTTAGTGATCAGACAACAGATTAGTAGCACTAGCATGTCTTCAGAAGCACATAAAAGTGCAAAATCAGTAGAACAGAAATTTGGAATAAAAAAAAAGCCATACTATAATTACTCAAATAATGGAAGGATGATAAGCACTAACAGGATTGTTTTTAAAGAAGACCAAGGAAGTGCGTGTGAGGATAAACCACCTCTTCTTCCAAGACTTCCAACCAATCCCTGCAGAAGTTCAACACAAACTTATAAAATAATGTTAGATAAGCTATACGGATAATTGAATGAAAGGAGTATTTAAAAAACATAATTATATGACCAGACCCCACAAATTTGAGAGATGATTAAAGTTATTTTGATAAAAAGTAATGGAGGAGATATCAATCCTGCTCTTAATTTAACCAATATTAATACAAAAGATACGTGTCCTCCAAGAACATGGAGCAAAGCATTGTGCAAAATTAATATTGTTCCATCAATAAAGAAGAATAACTACTTCAACAAGGTTTACCAAGAAGACAAAGAAGCAAAAGAATGTAGGTATGGTGTATACAGTACAGAAACACAGTCAACACAGAGAGAACAAATTTACCGCTATAGATATAGATACAGACAACTACACATGCAAAGAGTTGAGGCAAATTATACACACAAAGCTATACTAAGTAAACGACTTGTTTTTCCTAATCATTATAAATAAAAACAATTATTCTTTAACTAATTAAAATAAATAGATATAAGCATTAATTACACACGTACAAGCCATGGCCAGATAGTAAAACTGTAGAGGGAAGATATAACTAAGAAAAGAATTAAAAGCAGGGAAGAGAACAAACAGTGATCAAAAACTTTACAAACCTTTTGAGGATATGAAAAGGGGGCCACTCTTGAAAACCTGTGAAATTATTACATGTCAGAAGCCATGAAGCCATGAGACCATGAAAAGGTGCCAATTGTCCAGTGTAAAACTAATTATACCCGTGCAAATAGAGCTTTCAATCAATTCAATGTAGCACGTGCATCATTGAAGGTACCACTAAAACCCAAATTTTTAATGTTATACTGTCAGTTAATGCTATGTAAACCAATCAATTAACGTTCGAAGCAATGATTTTTTACATAACGGACTAGGTTGTTCTTCTCAAGAATTACAAACTAACCATTGAATTTATTATAACAATGATAGTTTACGTAATCGACTAGGTTGTTTCTCAAGAATTACCCCAGAGTTGTGGCAATGCATGGATTAACCAGTTGACATTAAAATGTGACTATAGATAGCATATCAGTTCATAAAGTCATACCAAGCAGCTTGGAAACTAAATCAGATAGTGGACGACCTATAAATTGAGGCATTCAACATCCATAGTACACCAAGATCTCAAGGAATCAGTGTAAGAACAGATTACAGCTTTTAAATTAAAGAAAAATGTAGCTATGGGAATGGAATGAAGTGTAAATTCATTGATTTCAAAAAGGTGTTGATCGAATTTCCTAGCTTCCTCGACATATCTTTTTTTTTTTTCTTTTTTATGTGATCAGCCCATCTTGATTCATTAAATTTTCTGTTTCAACATAAAGCAACACTTTTAAGTCACCAAAATATATACTGAATAGCATGAGAAATTTCCCACTATAACACAATTAGAAGTTGGTTTTGCATAATTTCTTCAATCTATAGCATTAAGGGGGATGAGGAAAGAAAAAGATGTATGCAGGCCATTTTATTGACACTTATTAGTTACTCTACTTGTTTAAGATAAAATTCTTTATTGGTTCCATGCATGATGATATGCTTTTAACTTATTACATATTGCAATTTCAAAATTAAACTCCTTAGTTTCAAATTCCCAATACTTGCCTGCTTATATACTTTTAACTATTTACATATTGAAATTTCAAAATTAAACTCGTTAGTATTCAAATTCCCAATACTTTCAACCACAATGCTATATTTGATCCAAACAACATTATTAATCTCTATTTTATTTTCGATTTTCAAAATTACCGCTATTTGAGCTCTCTTAAACACCCTTCGTTCTTCCAAATTGATAGACAATAATATTAGTAAAAAAAGCTGAACTTCAATTTAAAAATATTAAAATCTTTTAAATTCTACCAAAAATATTGATGTAAAGGCCTTAATCAAAAGTTTATTATCAGTAACATCATATAACCAATCCAAACAATGCATAATAAAAAGATCCAAAAACTCTTTCTATTCACATTCCATTTTCTCAGGAACCATACCACAAATATAAAATATAAAATAAAATTGAACAAATAGATGTTACCGTATTTGAGGCTACCCCTCTTGGCCGCTCGAATGCCGCTAACGAAGCCGACATTTTCGCAGATTAACATTGAAATATTCAATCATTCAAAAAAAACACAAATTCCTCAGCATTTCAACATCTCAGCGAATTGCTCGGCGTTCGACATTGAGTCAACACAGTAGATCGGCGAGTAAACTCGAATCGAGGCGAGATCTAAAAGCTTAGAGCAAATAATTTAAACTTACGGTTTTTCCTTTTTTTTTTTTTTTTTGAAAGAAAGATCGATTAATACAGACAATAAAGAACAATCACCAACCGAACTACCACACCCTCTCTATAAATATACTTAAATTATTTACCTAAATAATACTTCTATTTCAATTTCTTTTTTGGTTCTATTACATATTTTTTGTAACTTATATTATAATTTTTAATGTTATTTATTTTCGATTAGGTACATATGGAAATCTGAGAGAAAAAATAAAAAAAAGAAAAAGGAAGCCTTTGCTTTTCACCTACTTCACTGGTTTTGGAGAGAGAAAAGAGCGGTGGATGAGGAAAGAGCTACGGTCATCTACAGTCAGTTTTACTCCAAACTCTACTCTTTCACCACTTATAACAAGCCACGTCGTCAGCCGAGATGGCTACGAGAAGTAAAATTAAAAAAAAAAAAATTAAATTTAAAAAAAACAGTTTCGTTAAAAAAATAGAAAGAATTGACTTAAAAAAGAAATTGCATGTTTTCTATCTATCAAAAAAATGCATATGACCAGGAATTCTAGCAATAAATTTAAGATATTTACTATCTTTCCCTTTTTATTTTAAAAAATAAAAAATTTTGTTATCTATATTAATACTAAAATTTTTTATTAAGTAAATATGATGAGTTAAATGATATCAACTAAGTTAAAATTATTTATAAAAAATAAAAGAATTATTATAAAAATGTAAAATTATGGATACATGTTTTTTTTTATTACCCACTTTTTTTTTACTCACATGTGTCAAATTCTAGTAAAAGTAAATCAATTTAAAAAGTTTGAAATATTTTGAGTTCATTGATTGCAAGTTGGTAACATTTAGCTCATATTTCTCTTATTTATTTTTTATTTGTCCAAAATTTTTCTATAAAAGAATGTAGTTAAAAAGGTTATGTAATATTTTTATTAAACAATTAAAACTTAATATCAATTTAAATATAATTCTTTTACGTAAAAATAATTGCTCCTTTATCATTACTTCTTGGGAGAGTTAGATATAAGATTCTAATCTCCTCCTTTTCTTTGATTTTCTCACAGTATCAAACAATTTTTTTAATTATCAGTAACGATACAAATGAGTTAAATTATTTATAAGTTATTGATTCAATGTTATTAATTTTAAAAAAATTTGAATTTGATTAGTTCATTATCAAATTAAAGTAACTAATCGAATTCAAATGCTTTAATATTATATTCAAGAGATTCATAAATTTAATAGTATTTTATTTTTTAATATAAAAATAAATAATAATATTTAATATCAATATTTATAATTTTATTCAACTCTAATCAAATCTATTGAACCAAACTCAAAAAGTTTAATTAAATTATGAACCAAACTTATTGAATACGAAAAATAAAATTTAATCAAACTCAAATTGAATAAAATATAAACTATATTAATTTAATTTAATTTGATTATATTTTTAATTATGAATATATCAATCTTGTTGTTTACAAGCCTTGTAAGTTTTTAATATTATATATTTTTCAAAAGCATTATATTTTATTTTTTAATAAATGCAAGATTTAAGACTCATTTTTTGGTAGTTGAAAAAATAAAATGCATTTAGTCATTCTGATTTTATAGCGCCACCAAATTTATGTTTATGACCCCATAAAACGCAAAACATGTGTAATTAACTGAGCCTACCCGTTAAGTTAAATGCTGATTTGGCATAAATTTCTTTGGTGTCAACTCGATATGCCTAACCTAGTCCATCGCATAAAAGGCAATTTATTACAGTCACGAGAACGTGGGGTTTGGACTGAACGTTGGACTCTGGACCAGAGCACCTATCGCTCTTGTCGTGCGAACGTGAGGAAGGAAAGAGAGTGAGAGGTTTTCCACTCGTGTTTTAACTGAAGTAAGCGGTAACCGGTGTAGTGCTGCTCTGTACTTTTGTCCCTTTCGGCCAATGGCCAATGGGATTTATGGGAATGAACGTTGTGTTTGACAACCTTGTCCTTGAGGACGGTTTGTTACCGGTCTCACCTGTCAAACAATCTGAGAGATGGTCTTGGTCTAGACCCCCTGATATAATTTTAAGGTAATGAAGGGTGGAGTCAAATTCTTAATTATTTTTTATTTTTTTATTTAAAAATTAATTAAATATTTACATAACAAAACTCCGCTGGTAAAGAAAGAAATTCGCTTTCTTGTCAATTGAAGTTTGATTGTTTTGTTAGCATTTTACAAATAAAACCTTGAATGTAAAAAGCGTACCTTTAAATTTTTTTAAAAGATTAATTTATAAAAAATTTGAAAATATTCTTAATCATATTATAAAAATAAAAAATATTTATTTTTAATCTAAACTTATTTATAAAATTATATGTGTACTAAAAACTATAATCAACACAAAATATTATGTTTCATATAAGAAATAAATAAATCAACTAATTTTTAACGAGTGATATGTTGTGCGTTTAACAAATGCACTCAATGGGCCAAACTGAGCCTTGAATAAAGGATTTCGAAAATCAATCGAACTCGGCTCAGACCGTGAACGTCTAGACAGCTAAGTACATAATAACATAAACTCGGTGTTCTACCCCTGATGTGGTTAAAATCATTTGTGATGCTTCTTTCTGCTCTTCATCAAGTAGGATGGGAATTGCAGCTTGGGGCAGCAATTATGAAGGGATGGTGCTGGATGGAATGATTGATTTTGGCAGGAGACGGCAGCATCTATGGAAGCTACTAAAGCTATGGCAACAAGACGAGCAGCACAGATGCTTGCTTGACCACGTAAATGGTAATTGGAAGAAGGTCTTTTAGAAGTGTCATATGCTGGCATCGCAGATGGCAACGAGACAATACGGTTTTAGCTCCGAATTTGATTCAAATCTGTCTAATAGCTTTACTCAAATCGTCTCATTGTGACATCAAATTATTGTTTTGGATGCTTGATCCTGATTTGAAAAAGTATATATATATATATATATAATTTGTATAAGTTAAATTTTAATTTGAAGATTGTGGTTTAATATAATTTGTATAAAATTTGCTTTTTATTATATTTTAATATTAATTATATATAAATGTACTATTTTATTAAATTAATCTTTTTTTTAATTATAGATATAAATTTTTTTTTGAGAAAGTAGCATTAATAAATCAAAACATAGTGCGGCATCATAATCCCGTTAACCTCAACTAACATAACAAGGGACATAAACTCCAGAGCAACTCTGAAAGTTTCAAAAATAGAAAGCATTTGAGATAGCACCATAATTGTTGACATCACTTCCTTGCCTGGCTAATGCATTCGTGCAATGATTTCCTTCGTGGAAAATATGTTTCATCGTTATTTGCGTTAGGCCAAATGACCTTAAGTGAGAATAAAATCAAATAATTAATAAATTACATAAGAGATAATAATTTAATATGATTCGATTCAATTTATTTACATTCATTGATGAAAAATAAGATCCATTAATTATAGAGAATTACAAATATATATCAAAACATATTAATTACTTAATAATCAATACTCATAGACCTTTTCAATCTCCTCTAGTTCTATGAAATATTCTCAACCTAAATAAACATATGACCATATGTACCCCTTTAACATAAACAAATACATATTCATATGCACCTATATATTATACTTATGTAGACCCTCTCAGTCTCTTTTAGTTCACTCATAAACAAACATACACACCCATAAGATATAAATCTTCAATAGTTTTATGAGATGTTTACCATAAAATCATATAACTCTCTTATATCTTTTTCACATACCTAACCCTGTAGAGACTTTACCTATATATAACCATACAAACTTACCTATTAAGAATTCATTTCCTTTTAAAATTCTTCTTTTGCAAGTCTTCTTGTCCATCAAGTAATATCTAACAAATCTTAAATAAATCTCTTATAGGATTTAAATTATTATTCCCAACAATCTCCACCTTGACTCAAATTTTATCAAATCATATGTCTTCATACTAGACATACTTGATTTCACCTACAATAGAAGTCTCACAATCATCTTCTCTTATATGTCTTCACACTTTATGCAAACTGATCTTTAATTCTCAAAACTTGAACTCAAACTCTTCTCTTGAATCAAGCTCATCTATGTTTGCCTCTTCCTATGGCGCGAACCTTTAGCTCTTTCTACGTGTTGAAACTTCAGCTCTGATACCATTTGTTAGGCTAAAAACCTTAATCCAATCATCCCAACAAAAGCGAAATCACACGATTAATCAAACACACAAGATATAACAATTTAACGTGGTTCGATCCAATTGACCTATATCTACAAATGAAAAATAAGATCCATTAGTTATAGAAAATTACAAACATACATCAAAACATATCAACCACTCAACAATCAATACCTATAGACCCTCTCAATCTCTTCTAGTCCTATGAAATATTCTCAACCCAAACAAACACATGCTCATATGCACCATTTCAACACAAACAAATACATACTCATATGCACCTATACATCATACTTATATAAACCATTTCAGTCTCTTTTAGTCCACTCATAAATAAACATACACACACATAAGACATAAATATTTAGTAGTTTTATAGGGTATTTACTCATAAAACCTAATAACTATCTTATATTTTTTTCTCATACCTAACCATGTAGAGACTTCACCTATTTATAACCATACAAACTTGTCTATTAAGAATCATTTTCCTTTTATAATTTTTTTTTGTAAGTCTTCTTGTCCATCAAGTAATATCTAACAAATTTCAAACAAATCTTTTATGGGATTTGAGTTATTATTTCTAACAATTTGTTGAAACCTCCTCCACAGAATCTTATAGTCACATTACAATAGTGTTAAGAATGGTTAAGGTTTGCAATTAATCACATTATAAGGGTGTTAAAAATGGTTAAAGGTTACAATTAATTACTAGTGGCATCGAATTCAATTTTCAGGTTTTTAACCTTAGACTGTAAAGCAAGGTTTGACCCATCTTGGAGTGCCCAAAGTTTAGCTTTAACACTTGTAGCTCTAGGAATATGCCTTGATGTCCCTTTGATCCAATGTCCATCATGGTTCTTTAGCACCACTCTTACCCCTACACTTCCTGGATTGCTTGAGGAAGTTTCATCAATGTTGAGCTTGTACCATCCTTGTGGTGGTTCCATTAGACCCCGATGATGGTGGAATGAGAGCTTCTTTTAACTTTTCAGTGATAGCATAGTATTCAACAACATGTTCCACAACCTTGTTTGGCACTTTATTATGGACAGGGTTGCCCTTGAAAATTACCACATTTCTAGTCATCCAAATTTCCTATAACATAAAGCTGAATAGTTTTTTTCATGAGACGGTGTGACTGTTAAGCCAACATTTGGCGGTTGCATTAGCTTTAAGCCATAATTCCCAATTAGAAGCAC